ACCGGCATATTTTTTGCCATTGTATAGCTTTACGTGAAGCTTTTAACCGCTGCCACCATGTTTTATTAATTATAATGGATTTTTAATTAATAATTACGTTTTTAATGACTCACGTGTTATAATACTTTATTAGTATAACTTTTACAGATAATAAATATATGACATAATTAATTGTTAACCTAACCACAATATTTACCCTACGCTATTTCTCATTTTTCTTATTGAATATTTTTAAAATGTATCTTTTACAAGACTGCTTATTTAAATATACCGTAGTAAATCCTAATAACTACTACTTTTTTTATCAAGATTAATAACTATATACTCTGCTTGTTTAGGAGCGAAACGCAACTAATCTCTAGAAAATACACTTTTAAAGTGAGGTATTTTCTTGTTTGCAGACTAATTTATGCCTTTTTTATGATGATTAAGATACAGCTTCTCCCATGTGATCCAATTCTATGCCTAAGTATGTCAGCGATGATCTGTGGACTTCCTCAATCACTTTCTCTACGATAGACACACTACCGATTAAAGAATCCAGTGATGGCAGTCCGGCGAAAATCGGTATTAGTGGCAACACACTGCCGGATGACTGAGTGTTTTTAGAATCTAAGTGGAGCGATGAAACTTATGGTTTTTTAATGGTGTTTACTTTTTTTTTTTTTTTGGATAACTTTTCTACCAGATATCTTCCTCCGGTTTACAAGTGTAATATTTTTTCTGAAAGGAAATCGGACTAGAGAGGTATACTTCAAGGAGGTCATTTTTCGATATTACCAGGAATTTCTCCAACAAATAGGAAAAACCGGAAAAATGGGGAAATGTATAAAATTTATTAGTAAAATATTACGGTATTTTTTATTTTGTGGACAACTTTTCTAACAGCAATTTTGCTCCGATTTATAATGATAACACTTTTTCTAAAAGTAAATCTGATTAAGGAGCCGAGGAGGTACCGTAGGAAGATCGTTTTTTGATTTTCCTAGGTGTTTTACTAAAACATGGGAATAAATATCGAAAAATTGCTAAGAACGTAGTAAAAATCGCAAAATGGGTACAATATTTATTTATATTTTTTTTTTGTATTTTCTGCACAGTTTTATCCTCCGTGACTAATGTGAGTCGCTGTGCTATGTCTTATGCTTATTTTTTTTTTTATCGTGCGTCTCTCTAATTGCTTTCCGTCTCGGGCGGTTGTGTTGTTGTCGTGCCCATTGAGCTTTTAATAATTGTTTAGGTATTTTATTTTCCATCTTAATATAAATTTTCCGATAATGGACCTAATGTTCGACATCAGCCGTTCAATTAAACTATTGATATATTGTTGCCTAGCTGTGACTTGTCGGGAGTCTTATGTTAATTTAGTTGCCTACCTCTTCATTAGTTTATAGTTTTTTTATTGTCTGGTCTTTATTGTATAAAACTCTAATACCTGTGTGACTGTTTGTCCTTTCAAACAGTCTAAACAGGGATCCACTGCCAAGAAATAAAATACTTTAGACGATGTTTAGAAATCTCTGGTTACTATTCAGGAGAGTTTTTTATCCCATGATAGTAAGCTCGCAACTATTGTAAAGAATCTAAAGGGATTTGAGTCTAGTTTAAACTCATTATCTACTGTTATTGATAATTTTACTACTGAATTAAACCTCGTTAAGGAAGAAAAAGCTTCTTTGGCTTCTGAAGTACGATCACTTCATGAAAAAGTGAGTCGTTTGCCATAATGTTCCTCCCGTCTCTGAATATAATATATGTCAAGAAGCTCATGAAAGGTTATTAAAGGTTCACAAACTTATGGTGTTTAATGTCCCCTCCTCTACTAAACTTTTCTACCCAAAATCTTGCTCCGATGTATCAAGTGTAGCTTATTTTCTGAAAGGAAATTTTATCTTCACGGTAATTTAAGAAGGTCATTTTTTGATTTTTCAAGCAGTTTTCATAATATCTGAGAAAAACCGAGATAAAATATCGGAAAAACGGAATATGTACGAAATGTAGGTATTACAAAAAAAATATATTTATTAGTTGAGAAATATGTCAGCCTTATTTTTCCTTGTGAACAACTTTCGCTCTTTTGTACAATGATAGCAATTTTTCTAAAAGAAAATATTTCACTGGGGACGTACTTTAATGAGGTCATTTTTCAATTTTCCCAAAAGTTTTCCCAGCAACCGGGAAAAAATATGAGAAATCAAGAAAAACGCCACAGTTATTCGCCATAATTAATTTTGTTATTATTTTCTGATGACTCAGTTACTCGTATTATTGGGAATTTGCTCAGTATCTGATTGTTACCTACTTTAAAGTGATCTAAACGTGTTGGATGCTTGGGCTGTTTATCTTGGTTTAGACTTTAATGTCTCTAAATGCTACACTCTGCCTTGTTATAGAAGTTACTGTGAGTACACTTTGAATTTACTTGTTACGTGGCATCTTTCTTACTGTAGTAACTAATACGTTGAATGATCTTGGGGTAATGTATGATAGTAATTTAAATTTTCATGTCCATATTGATACGAAATGCTGTAAAGCTTTGAAAGCTTTTGGAATTCAATGAACGGATATGCAATGAATTTTAGTTACTTGCACCTCTATACCTCTTGTACTGTACATTTGTCAGGTCCGTTTTAGAGTTTGCTACTATAATTTGGGACCCTAACACCATCAATGATATGAGCCCATTTAAAAGGCTTCAATGAAAGTTTTTGGAGTTTTGATACTTATTTATTAAAAATTAAACATGAATCTCATGATTATCAACTAGGTTATGTTTAAAATCCTTAGCTGAACGAGATAACTACAAAAAGGTCTTTCTACTCAAGCTGATGGATCGATTGATTGTCCTGAGTTACTTCCCATGGTTAACTTTAAAATACCTCGCATTCAGACCCGATCTGACTATCTGTTCTCTTTAACTTTATGTAGGACTAATTTTTCTTTTAACCGCTCACTGTATAGGATGATGTCAGGGCCATATTTAGGATATATTGGCCCCTAGGCTAGCCTATGGTGCGAGCCCTGTCATGGATATAAGAATATATTTAATATATTTTTGACCGGTTGCCTCTTTTTTTTGCATCCCCGTTTCATTCAGGGGTGGTTTTATAAGGTTATTTAAAATCTAAATATTGTTGCTATTAAAAAAACCTCACATAATATTAATTAATACAATTATTTAAGTTCATAAAAAATTCTCAAAACATATCTTTTTGTATAAAATATCAAACAAATATTTTAATGCATACTAAACAAATTTGTTTTGGTGTGGGCCCCTAGGCCGCAGCCTATGTAGCTTGCGCTTAAATACAGCCCTGGATGATGTGTCTTGTCATCGAGGATCCATCCTAATTTATAAGTTGTCCTAATATATTTTTTCTCACTCTTATTATTATTACTGTTTTGCATACATGACTTGTCTTCTCACTTGTCTTTAGTTATATTTTTGTATTGTTATCTTTTATATTAAAATGTTACTATACTTTAGGCCGTGGTCCGTATTGAAAATAAAATAAATAAAATATTAAACAAATATTATTAAAGAAAATATATAATGTCTATGTAATTATTTTACCATAATATGATATATAAATGTATATTGTTAATAAAGTAATACTATCAACTGAACTCTGCTCAGAATTGTTTTTATCCTTTTTTGCGGCCGCAAGACATTTTTTGCTTAACGTGGACACATGTTTTCATAGACGTTTTTCTTTAAAACCTTTTTAGTAGCCTTAACTGCATCTTAAAAACCTCATTCGCGCCTAATTTTCGTTTCGACTTCATACCTGTAGTCACAGTCCGCGCAGCTATATTTTTTTTTTTTAAACTTATGTATACAGAGTATATTTTGAAATACGGGACATTTAGACGTCTCGAAAGCATTCATCGGAACAGAGGGACAGTATTTTGAAATACGAAACCATCCCGTATAGTACGGGACGTCTGGCCACTCTATACGCACAGTCTATAAGTGTACAATAATTCGAATATAATGACCGAAAGTACGTGAATATAATGGGTTCCATTCCGATCCAATGTGTGGGGCCCGGTTCAAAGTTATACATATAATATGCAGGTTTAGATTAATATCTACATGTGTCCGTAGGCTGTAAATAGTTTGGTGTCTCTATTTTACTACTAACCCTTTTGGCTTTGTAAAAATATATTATATATATTTTTTTAATTTTTCAATTAATAACCTATCATTACACTACTTGATACTTGAATAAATAATATTTTGGGTTTATTAACCATATAAATATATTTATGTATGTATGTGCAAACAAGTAAAAACATAAAATTAAACAAGAGTTATTTTAGATACATAAAAAATATAAAATAACCATATCATAATTAAACCATTGAAAAAAAAAAAAATTTACGGAAAAAAAGTTTGTACTTTTGATATAATTAGTGTAGTTATATTTATGATATTTCAGTAGGAACATTACGTAACCTATATAATCGAAATCGCCAAAACGGATTGTTCATAAAATATTAAATATACTGCAGTGGATACCGCCGACCGGGTTACACATTTAGCTATTCGTCACAATACGCCCGACGTGTAGCGCGGACCACAGAGGTATACATTATTGTCGACCTGCAAACCCGGAATTACGCGTCACGAAGATCGCGCGGTTCCACTGCAGATCGTTCGTGTACACGGGTAGGCATAAACCTATAATAATAATAATACCTAACCTATAGGTACGCTGCAGGAGGAATCCGGTCTCGGCCTCCGACGGCACCGCGGCCCGGCCATTGGTCGGGACCGTCACGGCTCGTCGACCCGAATCGCTCCTCCTCCCGGACCGGCACCATGGTTACCACCTTCGCCGCTCGCACCATAACCACTACCATGTTTCGGTCCGCGTGTATACTACATAATATTGTACACCATAGCGGTCGCGCGTACTATACTGCAATAATATAATAATTATTTAGGTACCGTGAGCGCGCGTTACCGCTGCTGTACATAGTCTCTCCGGTGCGCCCGTATCGTCCACACCGACACCGTTGCCGTATAGTTGTTGCGCAGTCAGCCACGGCGGCAGTGCAGTGCAGTGTGTAAATCGAAATAACGACAATAAAATATACATTATTGATAATAATATACCCGATATAATATTATTATTGTCGTGCAACGCGTCGCTGTGTTTGACGGTTTTAACCGTAATTCTACCGGTCGATCTGTGTATAATATTTATAAATATATATAAAAAAAAAAAAAATTGTGAAATCGGTTTTTTTTTTCCACCTACCGGGTTATTTCGCCTTCTTGTCGACCGTCGCGATAAATGCCATCGGCAGCGTCATCGTCACCGCCGCCGGGATGATCGCTTCGGAAACTCGTAACCACTGTGCCGCCGTAGTCATGGACTTGAGCACGCGGGCCAGTTCGGGCGCCGGAAGCGATCCCAACGACAACGGCAACGGTCGACGGCGCAGCGGTACCGGCAGCGGCGGCAGCGGCGGCGGCGGCGGCAGACCCGCCAAGTCGGTGTTTTCCATCCGGAGCCTGGTTGGCGAAGATACGGCCGTGCAACGCGACCGACACGCGGACGATGACGGCAACGATCGGATCGTGCGGCGACACCGCCTCGGAGACGACGACGGCGGCGGAGACGACGAGGACGCGGACGACGGTGAGTTTTCAGTACTAGAAATTTAAAAAAATAAGATCGCGGTCTGTGTAATGCTTTATTGATATATTATATGAATATACGTAACGCGTGATACGCGAATCGACATTTTGAACGACTCCCCCTCCTCTCTGCCCATCACGCCTCTCCTCCGGAGACCCGCATTAACCCGCGCCCAACTATCGGATTTATAGGTGCACGTGCGAATTGTCATCGTCGTCGTTACATTAGTATATTATCGTATGATATAGCGATGGCTGATGGGTACACTTGAAGCGGGTGTATTTTATTGTTTTTCCTGCGAACACGAGGCTTATGATAATATAAGTATTATGTTACTTATAGCGGGAAAAGGTGTTATAAATCCACGTACAACACAGTCGAGAACGATTGCGAAAATCAAAAAAAAAACCGATAAAATTCGAAAATCGCACATTGCCGCCGCGAACGAGTGGTCATATCTCTTGTATTTATATATGAAACGTATGTAGTTATATGGCGGCCAACAGCAAGTGAAGGGCTTGGTACAACAACCAGATAAATCCACTGTTTTCGAAAATTCACTTTTTCCATTGATTATTGTGTCGGAAAAAATTACTTAAATTTAAATGCAACAGCCATTTAAATCCGATAAATATATGTATAGTTTTTAATGAAATTAGATTTATCTTCTTTTTTGTTTTTGGTGCAACAACCAGATAACTCCGGAGTTATCTGATTTTTATACCCCAAATATTGTGGTAACACCAAATGTGTTTATTATTTTTGGGTACTATTAATAAAACTAAAAGATGATAAAACATTTTTTTTCTAAATTATTTTTGTTCATACTGAAAAATTGAAAAAAAAGGATTTATCTGGTTGTTGCACCAAGCCCTTCAATAGCTGCTGCTGCTACGACGATAAAGGGCATGAGAGATTGACCGAAAATTTAATATAAAACAATTAAGATATTGTAGGCTCAATAACATGCAACTAATGACGTTAAACGCGTCCGCATTACAATAATATTACGACATTATTGTTATAACCACAGGGAACGGATTTATAACGTGATTCGTATAAACACGTATTTTTATTGGATATTTCGAAAGTTCAAGGCGCCTATATATAGGGTGTACCAGAAAAGATTGGCCAACTCTTCGGTTTGTTACTCTATAAGAATAGGTTTTTTAGAATTTTTTTTTTTATTGTCAAAACGTTTTTTTATCGGTTTTATTTGTAAACTACCCATGTAAAATAAAAATAAACCATACCAGAGAATTTCTTGCAAAATTCTCTTACAAAATAAGGGGTCACTTGATGTTTTCCGAAAATAATCATTATCACCGATATTTTTGGCTTATCATGTCCAAAATCGTAATTTTTGTGTGACACATGAATTTGTATGTAAATTTGTCATGGGTTTCAATGGAATAAATTGTTTTTTATTTAAGCGGCAATTTAATGGTGCTATCAGAAAAATACGATATATTTGACTGTTAAAAACATAAAAAAATACATAAATTCAGTTGTTTTTATTGAATGTTTTATTATTAATTATTATTAGATAATAAACAAATTATTTATAGTAACTATTCTACATAACTTCCGTTAACTTCAATACATTTTAGAAATCGTTGATGGAATGACCCCCAAACATTTTCGATGACACACAATGTATCATTGTGATAAAAATATTACAAAAATAATAATCTGCAAAATTTCCATCATCAATTGGTGATATCATTCATTATTAAATCTGTGTACGATAAAGTAGTAACTTTATCTATTATTGATTGTTATTTTTATCGTATTGATTAAGCTATTTAAACTTGAGACTCCTCACTGAACACAGTTGGTGTTGTACATCGTTAAGTTACTTGTGAGTTTATAATATTTTTGTTCCAAATTTTATATTTAATGTTAATTAATGCTATTTAATAATGATGTACACGTTTGCTGAATATGCCAATATGGTTTTTTTTCCTAATGGGGGGCTCGAAAGACGTGTTCGTGATGCTCAAAATGAGGGTATAGTTTTTAATCATTTTTATGCAGATCCCGAAACTAGCTGTCGGCGTACTTCGAGCTGCTGCCACGTGATAATATGGACAGACTAAATTTTGCAACCGATATGATAAATCGAAGAACGGAAAATCCAAATTTTTTTTGGAACATCTTATTCACTGACGAGACGGGTTTTGCAAACGATGATATTTTTAACCAGCATAATTCTCATGTATGGGCTGAAAAAAATCCACACGCTATACGAATAAGAGGATCACAGTACAAATTCAGTATAAATATTTAGTGCTGTCTTATTGGAAATTGTTTGTTGTGACCTCATGTTTTACCACCTAGGTTGAATGGACGCGAGTTTCAAATTTTCTTTATGTACGCTTTACCCGTACTTTTAGAAAATATTCCTAGTGAAGAACAGAAAACAATGTGGTTCATGTTAGGTGGTGCCCCACCACATTACACGATTAGCGGTCAGAGAGCAACTCAGAGAGGAAGAAGTGCGAGTAACAATGCTATAATTCAGATATACAATAATTCCAGATATAATACCCATACGAAGTGCTGACTTCAACCCAGGTGACTTTTTCCTGGGAGTACATAAAGGAGCAAGTTTATGATCAAGAAATTACCAGTAGAGAGCAGCTTTATAAGAGAATAACTAATGTGGCAGAAAAAATAATGTGAACTTCACACATTTTCGAAAATGTTTGGAGGTCATTCCATCAACGATTTCTATAATGTATTGAAGTTAACGGAGGTTATGTAGAATAGTTACTGTAAATAATTTGTTTATTATCTTATAATAATTAATAATAAAACAAATTCAATAAAAACAACTGAGTTTATGTATTCTTCTGATAGCATCTTTAAATTGGCACTTACAAAATATAACAAAAAATAATTTATTCCATTAAAACCAATGAAAAATTTGCATACAAATTCATGAGTCATACCAAAATTACGATTTTGGACATGATAAGCTAATAATAGCGGTGATAATGATTATTTTTGGAAAAAATCGTGTTACCCCTTATTTCGTTAGAGAATTTTGCAAGAAATTCTCTGGTATGGCTTATTTTTATTTTACATGGGCAGTTTACAAATAAAATCGATAAAACCAAAGTTTTGACAATAAAAAAAAAAATTCTAAAAAACCTATTTTTAATGTTACATATAGAGTAACAAACCAAAGAGTTGGCTAATCTTTTCTGGTACACCTTGTATACTTTAATAAAAATGTTTACGATTTAAATCGTTCTTATTAAAACGGCGATAACTTTTTTTTACAATTCCATATTTTTTTTTATGTAGGTATTATTATATTTCACTATTCGGAAATATATATCGGTGTTTCTTCGTTTATAAAAGTATAATAGGTTTACGGTTTTAAGAAGACGTTATACCCGCATCTTCTATCTCAATCCATCTAACGGGTGACATACATAAACAATGCTTATGCAAAATATGTAAAACTTGTTTAATTTTTACTTTGGAGTAAAATTATCAATCAATTATGAAATGTATAGAGAACAATATTTTGGAAGGAATGTCGTCGGGGTTTTTAATTATTCAAAATACACAGATCAATATAAAAGCTACAAAGATCTTAACTTTTTTGCTTTTTTAAATAATTGTAACTTTTAAAAAAAAGTTCATAATTCAAAAAATAACGATGACATTCCCTACAGAATATTGTTTTCTGTAAATTTCATAATCGGTACTTTACTCTAAAATCAAAATTAAGTTAGTTTTACTTATTCTGCGGAAGCATTGTTTTTGTATGTTACCCGGTAATTAGACTGAGACAGTAGATAAGGGTATAACGTCCTCTTAACCAAAATCGCAGTGTCGTTTCAGTATATTTCTACATCATCAGCTGTCGTCTAAAGGCGATTTCTATAATTTCAGCCGTTGGATATTTCGTATTCAATAACATTACGGTAATAATCACCGATAGAAATCGGAATATCTTTTGTTAATCGTTATTCTTTAGTTTATGACGCGTTTAATTCTATTATGTTATTTTACAAATTGTAATTTTTTCCCTCACATATTTTGATATTTTTTGCACACAATTTATAAATTGTACTTCCGTATAATTTATGTTTGTATATTATTTAATTTTAAATTACGTATAAATCCGTTTCCTAGTCTTAATGAAAAACAATAAAAAATAATATTTCACGAAATTCGTATACGGCAGATTAATATTATAGTCGTTATATTTGACATTTGCCATATTTGGTTTTCGAATTAAAAAGTTGTGGGGGTCCTGGGGCCCATATTAATATATATAAGCCCTATATAAGGGACTTATTGTATTAAAATGGAACAAATAAGCAAAACTAATAAAAAAAAAAATATATGAAAATAGGTTTTTAAATATTTGATTTAACTCATAAAATGAACCTGATGGGCCCCGCGGACATGGTCCCACCTGTTTTATCCTTTAATTCGGGCCTGTAGTTTTCTATTGAGGAGTATAATTTAGCAAAAAACTAAGTCACATATAAAATAAACAATACAAATGCCTTTTAAATTAGTTTTTCAGAGATAAAACTAAACCTATTATAAAATTAGAATCAGAAAACGTTTTAAAAACAACATCAGAGGCGTTTTACAATATTCTCGGTTAACTATATCAAGAATTTGAAAGTATATTTTTGTTTTTTTTTTTTCTGTAAACAACTTTTTTTTCACCAGAAATTTTGCTCCAATCAAAAATTATATAGGAACTTTCTTGTAGCCAATTGTATCTTGTTGCTGGCGTATTTAAAAGATAATTTTTTGATGTTCCCATGTAGCTTTCTAATAAACAGTTTTCTCGCCACTGCACTTTGTAAAATCTACATATGAGTTTTCGGCGGGTAGTCAACTATATACTCTATACATTAGAATTGTTATCAAAGGTACAAAAACAATTTGTTTAATAATCAATATCTCGTAAAACACCGAAGACGTTATATTCAAATTGTGCAGGTTAGGTATATAGGTAAATGTTTTAAAATTAGTGTTTTTTTTTTAGAGGTTTTAACATTTGATTCACGTAATAACAATAATAACATATATGCTAAGTTAAATTTGATTTTTCTATTGGGGTCCATTTTAAAAACATTTTCCAAAATATAATCTGTTAGCTGTGGTTCAAAATGTTATTATACTGACGATAACGGAGTGACATTTTTTGTTTTTTTTTTTATTTTTATCATGAACAAATTTCTTTGGCTAAATAACAAGAGCATTTTTTTAAGACTATCTGAAAAAAAAGTCTCCGTCCTGCTCGAATAAAATTTTGCGTTCAAGTTTAATATAAGTTTACTTATATATAATATACTCGTATTATGAAGCCGGTGCTGCAGACGGCCAATTTAAATGTTTTGATCACTATAAAATAATCGAGTGACAAAATTTAGTTTATCTCACGGTATTTTAGATTCTGAGTGTAGTGGAAAAACTATTGTATAGTACCTATGTGGTTTTTTTTATTTTTTACGAGAAACTGTATATATTTGTCCAGAACATATACCTTAAAAGACGCGAAGTTTTTGCTTGATGGTAATTTATAATGAAAAATATTTTAAATTTTCAAATACTTTTTCCAAAATAATTAATTAACCTTTTTTTCGTTCGGAAAACGCTCTAATATTATTTGTTCATGCAGTAACTTAAAAGATGCGGAATCACTGCTCAGCGGCATTTTATTTGACACATTTGTCGATATTTTGGGCAATTCACCCTTAGATCCTTTTAGATTGGAAGCGTAGCGAGGGATCTTTATGGTTTTACTATGATTTGTTTAAAAAAATTCGAATGTAGTGTAGTATATTTTAATTTTTTTTTTTTTTATAAGGTTTTAATATCGAATTTTGACGAAATCTGTAAATATTACGGCCTTTTAAAACGTGTAGTATAACAGATGAAATTCACTCCTAATCGTTTTTGATTATCAAATGGTTCAATGGATCAATGGTTTATTATTGCTTATAGATTTAAATTAAATAACTTTATGGATTCTACCATTCCAATTTCTGACCTATAACGGTGGTATAACCCAGTATCAGCTATTTTTTCTTTTGGTTTTTGATTTTTGTTGATTTTCCGATTCCCGTGTGACACAAAAGGGAAAACTACGAACAATATTTCTCCACTCAGTACCATTTTTTATTTGCAATGATTTATCATTGCAGGCAGTATTATATATACCATATGTCCAACCTGATTATCTTCGTTGAAAATCAATATATATTTAAATGCGATGTTTTCTGTAGTAGTCCATGAAAAAATTCCAAGTTAATTGCATACATTCAAAAAACAATAATATTGTATGTAATTAAGTTTTGAATGTTTTCAAGATTATTTGGTGAAATATTTTAAACAATTAAAAAAAAAAATTTAATTGAGTGAAAATTAATCAAGTTAATCAAAAACCTGATCTGCTATAACTTGGTCAATTTTCACTTAATTTTAATAATTTTTTTTTAAAATTACACCAAAAAATAATGGTTACCTTGAAAACTTTCAAAATTTATTTGCACAAAATATTTTTTTTTTTAACGTTTGCCGTTAAATTGGAATTTTCTCACAAAACTACTGTTGAAAAAACCGCATTTAAGTATATTGATTTTCAACAAAGATATAATCAGGATGACTCGGGACTTCTGGGGACATACGTATATATATATATGTACATATTTACTTAACTAAATTACCATTGTGTATCCTACTTTCCCAACTATCCAACAGTGGCCTATCCCCGTGAGCTGTATCAACTTAAAAAAAAATAAAAAATATTCTATATTATCGAAACAAAAAAAAAAAAAACCGAACCGTGTACATCATGGTCACTGCCGTGCATAATATAATACCTATAATACCGTGTATACGCAGACATTAAATTATTATTATTATAAGTACCGCGAAAAATGTTAGATTGCCTGTGTCTGCCCCGTGACGTGTGTACTTGTATATTATTGTATATACCTACCTATCTACGGTTTTTTTTTTTTGTTCTGTACGATGCATTTATTATATTATTATATACGTAAAACAGGAGACTGTACCATACGTGTGATTTTCGTCGGTAAATCGCCGCGTGTTTTGTATAACATATTGTGTACAATATACGTATACCTATTGACGGAATGAGAAAAAAAAATCGTTATTGTCGATTCGTTCTAAATACTATACGTTCGGGTATATAATATGTTTATAGGTAGTGTTTAGTGTTTACTGTACATGCACATTATACAATGTACATATATTATAATATATTAAACGAGTGAAAATTAATCCTCGATTTATACGATGACGAGAAATATTGAAATATTATATTAAGAGGACGCCGTCATTTTTATCGCTGCTGTCTATAGTTTATACTTAACGGACAATATATAGCCGAAAATGTTCGATTTCAAAATTGGTTCAGACGCCGGAATAAATACGAGGATATATAGTTGCGCGGTCAGGGGCGTGATTTCAAATAATAAATAATGATAATAATAATAATATGTGAACGCATAACGTAAGCCGATTAATTTGTGCACCAGACCACTTAAACTGCATACGCTAAGGATGTGTTAGTAAATAAACTTTTGGGTAGACGTCATTATTAACTGAAAAAATAGCATAGGTTTTTTGATATAGACAATGGCATTTACACTCGCTCAGCAGGACCTAAAATAGCGTAATTTTAAGTACAAAGTATGGAATTCGAATTCGTATTGTTAAAAAAAAAAAAAAATCATTATTACGAATAAATAAGGGCGTTAAAAAGGAAAAGCGCCCTAGGCCAACATATGCCTCGGGGGATAATAATATATAAATACGGTATCTGTCTCAGGCAGACTGTCTGCAGGGACGGCAATCCAGCAAATGCCGGTATAACGTACGACTGTGTCTCTATGATTTCCGAATTCATTGTTTTGCAGTCATCGTCGTCGATTTTTCAATTTTTCATCATACACGTCCGAACGAACGCCGTATGGCCCCCGGGAATTTAACGTTCGTGTGCGGGGTAATGACGTATGAACATTTTACAATTATTATTGTGCGACGAGTGTACGATGTATTTTGTTTCCCCTCGAGTTAACCGACATATATATACGAACAGTGACAGCAGCTATAGACCGCGTAAATAGTATAGATAACTACTTATATATTATATTATATACATTACATACAATATAAATATAATATAATATATATAATACTTAGTACATCACAGACAATTAGGCATTAAACGCCCGTGTGAGCCCTCAAAGGTCAGCTTATCGTATTTATAAATAATTGTTATACACGCATCATTATACAAATAACCCATTATGATGTATCGGCCGGTGTGCGTTCACGTACAATATACTGATTATGCAGTGCATATAAGTAGTATATAATTGAACACTGCAATAGCTATTACGTAGAACGGCTATAAGGGTTCAAAAGTTGTTGGAATACATATAACCACCGTTTTTTTTTAAAAATCGTATTTTTAGCCGATATTATGCCTGGATCAAATTTTCGATTTCCGCAGCCAACACATGTACAATATGAGTTTTCCGACTCCTGTACTACATAATATAATGTACAGATTATAGGTATACGATTATGTATTTTGGTACCTATTTAAAATATTTGAATTTGTGCGTTGTTGGACGCTGTTATTTCGAGCATGAAAACATAACAATTATAGCCCTTAAATAATTGAACGTACACAATACTACAACTCGTTAAAAATAACAAATAATGGATATTCATCGTGATTTAAATATATTAGAGTTATTAATAGGTACTAAGCATATTTAAATGGACCAATATACGTCCTGTTAATAGTACATTACCCTATATTAGCGTTTTACAATAGACATTATAAAATTAATCAAGATCAATTAAGATCAATTATAAAATCTAGATAAAAAAAACTACAGTTATAATACGAGATATAGTATTTTTTTAAAAATAAAACTAAAGACAATTTATTATTCTATACAATTTGATAGTTTTTGTGACACACTTACAATAATTACATCGATATATTATTATTATTATCATTATATGCAATAGTTACATATCGTAAGACGGTATATAGACTTGAACGCTCGCAGCGTTTGACTTCGACGTTTAACGAAATTTAGGTTTTAATTTTTTTTTATTTAGTTTATACAATCCTGTCAACTATAAATCACTCCCTTGATTTTAAAACGTCAATTTTGTCTTAAATTATAAGAAATCAAAAAATCGTTCACTACTTGTATGTTTTAATGGATCAGTCAAATGCACTTAATATAATACGTATTATTTGTAAGACATAGTTAAAATTAATAATACTCGCGTATGTATTATGTATACTTTTTAAATATTTTAAAAGCAGTAATTAAAGAAATTTTCGTGGGAGGGAGTTATAATTTACAAATCCTTTGTAATACCTTTTTCAGCCTGTGTAGTTCAAATTTGGGTTTGTGCTAAGTCATCCCAAATTTATATACTGTAGCAAGCCTTCTAATCCGCCGTTCCCTGTATTATCTCTCTACAACATGATATATATATTTATATCCAATTACACACTTCAAAACGATTTTAAGATGGAATGCAGTAAACCGATTAGCTACAAAAAAATTTCATACAAAATTACATACGCACTCAAACCCTTTAATTGTTGAACTTGCATATCCAATTCACTTCCTTGAAATCCCCTTCGTCGGCCCCCAAAAAAGTGGTGTAGAAATCTACTTGAAAATTATTTATATATATATATATATAAAAAAAATCCGTTGGTTTCTATCATTGGGTGGCCTCCCTCCTCATATTGTGTTTTTATGTATTTTACGTTATCTAATTTGATATTGTAGTAATCAAAAATATAGGGGGGTCAGCCTAATTATATAAAATTGATTCACACATATAAGTTAATTATAAATTGGATTACCTTTCTCCTTTAGGCGGCAAATGACCTGTTGAATCTGATAAAGGTGACCGAAATAAATAAAAAGATTTTAATGTAACAACTGTCTTTTTTTATTAATTTTTTAAATATAAAACACTGTTCTGGGTTCCCGTGCTTTTGTAAGAATCTCTGCGTAGTCTTTACACTCGCTTGTGATCATCTGTCCAAAAGCAACGGGAACAATACNCGCACTGCGCGTGATTAGAAGTGGCCGGCCTCCTTATAACTGGAGATCTATGTGTGTGTGCGTGTGTAAATGTGTTATCTTAATCTGGTTAATACTAAAAACTTAGTCTAATACTTAATGGCTATAAATTATTATAATTGTTTTACAATATTGATTATACATTTTATTTTAATTATATATGATAGCTTAAATATCATATCCTTACGATGAGTAGATACCGCATTAAAATATAAGTTATTTGATAAAAAAAATGGAATTGGATGTATATGTTTAATTTTCGTTCCCGTTATTAATTGTTTGATTTATTTCTTACATTACATAATATTTTATTTTAAATTATGTTTGATAGCTTAAATAGCCTTTCATTACAATATTATACCTCACAGATTGAAAATAATATTTTATAAATTAAAATTAAAATATATACCTATATAATTTTCAAGAAATTTGGGAACCTAGTAAATTAATGTTTATGTGTAGAAACTTAAATAAATTAAATTTATTTTTATTTGTAAATAATTGACAGGAGATTTTTAAAATTTTTAAAGTACTTACATTTGGGTACTTTTTTTTTCATATCGGCTAGTATGAATTTATGTTTATCACGCATATTCAAACTAATAATAATGATAATATTAAATAATAATAACAATAATTAGAGGTGGGTGTGGACCGATACAAACATCGAGATACGATATTGGCGGTATCGGTTTTTTTTTTCAAAGCAGTCATTGAACTTCAATGGTGTATATTGTTTTTTTTTCTTTTCTAGAGGGCGGATTTAGAGAAAAAAAAATCATCCACAGACCCACGGGGGACTACACCTTCTTCTTTTTAGTTTTGTTCAGTGTTGCAAATGCATATGATATGGTGTTATTACAATGAATTGATAAGACGCGAACATTATTTTACCACGGCGGTTGTGCATTTTACATTATTATCGACTATCATGATTATACGTCATATATAGAACCAGGGATTGTATTATATATTTTGTCGATTATTAGTGTAACAAAGAACGTATTGATTTTACAAAGATGTTTATTATTTTTCTTTTTTTAATTTATTCTGCGTAGATACACAAATTCTACTATAAATTTTGCTCCAATATGTACGTGTGGCACGTTTATTTCTAAAAGGAAATATTGTCTAAATGGTGCTTTTAAGAAGTTATTTTTTGATTTTCTAAGCGGTTTTCATAATATCTGGGCAAACCCGGGATAAAACGTAAGAAAAACGGGAAATTTACGAAAATAATGCTTTATTATTAGTTTTGATTTTGTTGTAATTCAATTATAAATATTCGTAGAGACTTGCCATTTGGACAGAGAACTTTTGTTTGCTTTTTCTAGGCGCGGTAAAATTTTTAAAACATTTGAGTCATTTTTAGGCTGTTTATAGAAGTTAGAATTATTAGAAAAAAAAAAAACAAAACAAAACATAACATTATCAATTGTTTATCTCCTTTAAGCTAAGCTAGTGTTGGAGATAGAGAGTCACAGATTTTAAATATAAAGATTATAAATTATATAACCAATAAACAAATGTTAGACAATTTGATAATTTAATTTTTACATAAAAACTCACGGGGGCAGATCTATCCACAAATCCGCTGTTCGTAAATACGCGCTATACGTATTGGTCCGTTATTTTCCGAGAAAAATGTCTATAATAATATTATCGCGCGCGAAACGAGTTTGAAACCCATTTACTACTCAATACAATGGGATAATATGCAATCAAGTAGCGGGGGGAAAAAAAAAAAAAAAAAAAAAAAAAAAAGTCACAAAACCAACCGGGTCCTACGAATAATATCATTATAATATTCATACAATACGCGGCGACGACCGCATCGTCATAACAACGTTAATAACACCGTCGCACTACTTTTACGCGCCGACTCGCGCGACGCACCACGTAACAAACCTCGTTGTCGCCGGTGCCGTCGGCCGCGGCGTCACCGCGGTCGTCGACGCGACGACAGACACCAATAACGATCGGCCGTTATCTTTTAATTACGCCCGGGCCCGTCCGCGCCGCCGTGACGGACGCCGCGTAATCTCGGACGGTTACCGCCACCGAATTCCTCGGCGGTGACGGCCGGCACCGCGCGCCCGCATGACGCGACAACGGCACCGGGCCGCCGCCCTATATATTATTATTTTATATAGGCGCGGAAACAATGTAATAATAATTGTGTAACGCGTTCCGGCGTTATCGGTCGACCGGTGCCGGCGGCCGCGTATTAACTCGCCCGAGTGGCCCGCGGTTTAACGCGTAAATACGGTTTAACCGCGGGCTGTCCGCCCGGTTGTCCGAGTGCAAACGACATGTTTTTTCCTAGATAAACGACATGTAGACAAAAAAAAAAAAACAATAAGATAATAATTATGTCCACAAACACGAAAATCCCAGACGTCCGTGTTCTGTTAGACGAATCGCTAAACGCACAATGGGGCACGTGTTCGGATTTCGACATTTTTCAAGAAGCACAAAAACACTCGACACTATCACCGAAAATACACGACCCGATCTTTAATAAGTATAATATTGCAGGATATCAAACGTACAAGTTTTATAAAATATATTGTAATACTCCCGGATGGTTTTGAGGAGTTGTTTTGAATTTCTCGAAAAATCGTAATGTATTTACAATCTGCAAACAAGTTTTTAATAATACGGATGAGTGCGATGTATGTAGGAGTGGTAACCGCCGTATAGGATTGAAGGAAGAATCCATCCAGTGATGAAACTCCACGGTAACGAGCAACGGTTTTTAATCATTTAAAAGGTCCCGGTACCGTGTACGTATTAAACGCCTTCCGAGGACACTCGGAATGTTATGAACCGATCATTTTGAGATCAGAAAATTGCGGTGACGATTAGATTAGATTTGAGTGGAAGCGTTTGTCGAGAGTTTCGGTTACATGTTGTATTGTTGAAACGGACGGGTCAACTATGGAGTGTATCGGTTGATACATGGAACGGAGCCTTATAGTTATATGCCGGAGATATTCGGATTAGAATGTTTGAATTTTTATTGATGTTTGATGGCTTGGTTGAGCCCCAACGTTGTATGCCGATCACATCAGTTTCAATAGAATTTTATATATGAGTATAATTTTATTGTTCAGATCGACGTGTTTAGATGTTAGGAGGATTCGTAACTGACGGGATCGGTTGTTCAAAGCTCACAATTTCTGTTTTTTTTTTTTTTAAAGCACCAAGCCCGTGAAATACCAGGTAATTCACGTTAGTAATTTTATAATTAACAGGACATCGAAATCATACATCGGGGTCACGTATAGGCAATTTTAACGAACAGTTTAAAAAAAAAAAAAAAACTAAAATGTATCGGATTCGAAATATTCAAAATCACGTTTGAATGAATGTTCACGTAGAATAACTACATAAATGCTCATTATATAACACGTGTTTATTATAAAACATTGATATTCGATCAAAAGCTTTAAGCTTTAAGTTTTAAAAACTTTAAATACAACAAAGCCGTCGGTTAAAATGCAATTGTGCACTGTCACTGGTCAATGATAACATTTTGTTATTATCTCTATCGCAAAGTCGATTGTCGATAATATTATAATATCGTAGTAGAAACCGGTAAATTCGTAAAAGTACCTTTGGTACACATTTTTGGTAATTGTTAGTATATATTATAGGTACACGGTCATGGGAAAAGTGTTTGCGGGAAAAAAAAATGAACATAATATTATATTTAGACGGTTTATAGAGTCTGTGGAAAATATTTTTATGCTTCTGATATTATAAGGCCATTATAATATTACGCGAGTTTAGAAAAGTGTATTATGTATTTTATAAACAGGTACGTTTCTTGAGTTATTTATTGTATTATATAACTTGACACTTTTATCTACTTAAAGCAGGTGTGTATAAAAACTATTGTATAATTTGTTAGAAATTTTCTTTTGTATATCGAAAAATATCGTTGACGGTACCTATACATAATACTATTCGCACTGTGTGTATGTATATATACCTATACAAATAATAATATCGTAACGCATATTAGCGCGGATAATGCAATTTTTGATTGGCACATTTGCACCGTATTTAAGCGCATGATACAAAATGTCGGTGTCCGCGAGTGGTGTACAGTTATGATGACCGCGCGAGTAACCGAACGTTTCAAAAATATCGTACCCGTTGTAACGTGTTCTTTCCCCCCCCCCCCGATATGAAACATTTCAAATAAACATTCGCGTGATATATATTAATAAACGTGTATTGTAATATACAGGGCGATTAACGTAAGACACTGTCGTTATCTCGGAGAGTATATTAACTTTTTTCGGAATTTGCAATTTCGGAAAATTTGAGAAATTAGTAGCTCTAAAATGTTACACTACTTTTTTATCTGTTGTTACCTTTTTTTTTAGGGGTTATACTCAACACACCCTTCTACTACTCTTCGACATCCAAACTATTTTCAATTTTCAAACGGCAACCTACATTAAAAATTCCACGAATATATGGAACATAGGTTTACATCAGTTTTAGCGTTGACATTTTCAATTTCCGTCAACTCGTTTACGAGACACTTATTAGTTTCGGCTGGAGTAATGTATAGGGTTTGGATTTATTTGTATTACATGAAACAAAATATATAAACATTTATGTATTAAAAAATCGCTTTTAATCTGATAAAAAAAAATTACAAAAAAATTAAAAATAGCTTTATAAATGACAAAAAATGAAAATAAATACTTGAATTGAAATTATCATGAAATTAAACCTTATTCATCTTGATCTTGATAACAATGAGATACCATAAAAATGCTTAAATAATCAATGTTAAATGATCTGAATGAATCTAATAAATGTAAAAACATGTATTTATGGCGGAATATGTAAGAATATGTAAAATCGAATCACTTAACACCAATTCATCAGTTAACTAAATTAATTTATCAAGTCACAGTATATATATATATATATATATATATATATATGTATTTACATATTATAAATCCGAGCCCTGGAGATGTATTATTTGTTTGGCGGCACAGCGCGCAACGTTTCACGCACAATATTAATGCAATTTTTAATATAGGTTATCATTTGAAAATCATAATAAGGTTGTGGTTACCATGGTTTCGCCCACTAAAATAAAGGTGACACGAAAAAAGTAATCAAAAATTTTTAATTTTACAATTTCCATTAAATGTTCTAAAGAGCTAATTCCAAAAAAAGTTAATACTCTCTGTCTTATGTCGTAGTGTACATAATATAATAGTATAATACCTACACACTACAGGAACGATTCGAACTTTCTCGGCGTACGTGGCGCCAGTCGAAATTATTTATAATTTTGCACATTTTTTTAAGTCCATATTTAGCATGAAATTCGCACACGAATTTGCATGACAGTCTTGCCCTGGGAAGACTCGTTTATCCTTATGCGCACCATTATACAATACTGCAGAGACAGAATACGTATTGAAGCGTTTTTCAAGTGTCTGTGCTTATAAATCAGAGTTGAGGTCGGTAATGTCTTAAACACGGTACCAGATTAACGAATGACAAATGTATAGCTCACGGAAATTTTCGGATGAGCTCACAAAAAACAATCACGCGTTCCACGCAAACCGAAATGTATATTATACAGTTATAAAGATTTATCTATTTATCGATTAGCTTTATTGGGAATATAATTAAACGAACACTAAAATTATTATAAAAATACAATAAAGAATTGTGTTAAAACGACAATTTATAATTAATACTAATTATTTAATAAATATGTCATGAGTCATTTTCATATCAGTTTACTCGCTAATTGTTATATTTCCAAACACACCGACCGTATTCATTGTTGTAGAATATACGACAGAATATAGTACATTTATAGGCACACCACACAGATATTAATGCAAATTACTCGTGTAAATGAGTTAATATTTCCATTTCGAGCGCGGAGCCTATTGATAAATTCTATGGTTTCGGCTGGCACAAAGTCGCGCCATATAATATCGAATGTTTTTTTTATTGAGCACACAATTCGTATAAATTTTGACGGCCAAGTTTAGAATTTGCGCGACATTTTTTTGCGGGGCGAACCCATTTTACAGAGCTAGTAGCCCAATAGAAATATTACTCCGATTATCCACTTAAGGAATACTTTTAGTTGTTAATTTTGTCTAGTTGATATATTGAAAAGATCATTTTTTGAGTTATTTGAATTTTGTTTAGTTTTTATTTGTTGAAATTGTTTAAATCCATTAAAAATGAACGGAAATTTAATATGAGGTTTGCATCACAAGTTTTACTTAGTAGTAAAATAAAAATTATTAACTGAAAATAATGTAATCGGTTTTTTTTTTTAAATGATTGTAATCATTAGAAATCGTAAGAAAATTGTCATTTAATAATACGTTTATCTGAATTTCGCTCAGAATCGCTTTTCATTATAAATGATATTTATCGTTACGCACAGAAACTAAATTACCGTTTATATATCTTTAACTTCTCCATTACATCTGTGACCTACTCATGCTGCTCATTGCTATGAGTAGTATTACTTTTTACTTTTTTTATTGATCGTATTTTTTATAATAATTCAGCAACTTTAGTCATTGGTTGCATTAAATTTAATGAAAAATTAGGTACTGTGCAAATCAATGTGCATTGTGAAACGTGGGTAATATACGAAAAAATGATACTTTCTGATGTTTTACACAGCACATTCATTGGTATTTGATTGAAAAAATTAGATTCTTGTATTGGAATTTGATCATCAGCTGTACGTTTTACGATAGTTTATCCTTAATGATAAACATATATTTTGCAGAATACTTGGAGTTTGATTTCGATTGGATAAGCGATATTTAGTTATTAGGTATATACAATATGGAACATCTTCGGGATTCAGTGATTCTCTATTTAATATGTGCTCAGCAGCAAGTCTTTAAAAACCTTAATAAGCGCTTTAGGTGGTAAAATAAACGCTTGAAATCTACCGAAAACAAAAAAAAACACTTTCAAATGTTTTCTTATTTGAATTCTTGATTCTTATTGAAGATACTATACACTCGCGGGCGGGTTTGTATTGCCCCATGCCCAGCATTGACCGACGCGATAGGCGGACACCTAAGACAACTAAAACAAATATACGCGTTTGATGATCGAATACAAAGTCGAAATTATTCAAATCCGTGTTTTTTCCATTGTCTTATGTAACCGTATAAAGTGGAAAATATTACGCGGGAAAAACTCTCGAAATCGGCGTCGAAAAGCACGTTTTCATTTCATATTCGAACTCGTCGTAACGCGGCAGTAAATTTCCACGGCACTATCCGCTATAGATAGATTTGAACGTCGAAAAAATAACCGATCGCTATAAGACCCCGAAACCCGATTATTGTTATCGGTCTCCGGGTGTCGTGTTAACACTTGTCGTCGGGCACGTTATAGTAATAATAATATTATAATTTTTAGGGGTGTGTGTGTGTGTGTGTGTGTTTGTGACTTTACAAAATATTAACGCAATACAGCAATATATACGCGCGTATCCTATAAATTATAATATTATATTTTATTTATATACGTAAAAAAAAATAAACGCGTGTCGTATATACATAATCATAATAATGTAATTATACGTCGTGAGGCGGAGAGAAATACGGAAAAAAAAAAAATTATGTATACCTAAATTGTATAAGAAAAAAAAAAGGAATAATAATATTAATACAAAAACGTCATAAACGTGTATAATGGTATTAGGTATTATTGTGGCGTACCATAATAATAATAATAACACGAGACAACGCGATGACGACAGCGGCGGCTGCGGCGGCGTCAATCCGAAAAAAAATTTAATCTATTAACTCTCTCGGGCGCTCGTGTGTGTGTATAATCTTTTTTTTTTACTTATGTCTGCGCGCGCGCGCGCTCGTGTAATTCGACGACGACCCCGAAAAAAAAAATAACGAACGAATATATAAACTAATGTATGTTTTAATGCGTGTAATGATGTTAACGCAAGACGACCCGGGCAATTAATCGATACGAACGCGATACGTTCGTTTCGTCGTCGTCGTCGTCGTGTATACACACTATTATACACACAGGTATATACCTATAATAATAATAATAATAATATATGCATAATATTATTATTATTATTATATTATACCACGACCGCGGTACTATACGCGTATTATTATTATTTTAAGTATATATACGATATAGTAATGCTCACTACGAAACCAGTTTATCCATTACCACGCGTCTATATCGTATTGTACGCGAGACGGGCGCGCGCCCGCAATGTCCCCGCGACAATCTCGACCGCCGTCGCCCGTGTACCTACGATATCAGGAAAAAACAAACAGAAAAAAAAAAAAAAAAAAAAACAAAACTGGTCGCCCTTATCAGTGTATAGTAATAATAATAATAATAATAATAATATAATGTACCAGTCGGGGCTATTACTTACCGCGGCTACATAATATCATACACCTATTATACTCGTATTATAGTATCTATACACTAATATATTATATTATTATACGCAGTCTAGCGCCGCGGCCGCCGCCGCCACCGCAATGAGCAGGAGTTCGGTCGATCCGCGATCCGGATTTGAAAAAAAAAAAAAACCCGATCGAACGAATTAGAGAGTGAGAGAGACGAGGCGAGAGAAAAGGCCGTTATCGCCGACGGGTGTGCCGCTGTTTAAGCAGCGCCGAGTCGGAACAGAGGACATAACGACGAGTGACTAATTAATTTGCATTAAAAACGATCCTGAACAGAGTCGTATTTGTTCACTTGTCGCCGCGATAATACAGTGATCCACAGATACTGTGCGAAGGATTCACATTTTTTTCATCATTTATTATGTAAAAACTACGAGGAAAATAAAAAAAATAAAAATCGATCTCCCGATGCGTCTGTAACTATAGATCGAAAATTCAACATGAAAGTTCCGATACAATTTCCAGTTGCCAAGTTCACATAGATAACATCTATACGAAACCATTATGGTAAAACCAACGCGTTCTTCGTTTCGTTCAGAATCTAATATTACTCCATTGTAAATTATGCCTAGAGTCATAAAAAAAAAAAATAGAAAAAAGAAAGGCCCGGCAAAACATTTAAAAAACGTTAAAAGCGCCTTGGTATGATATATGACATTACGACATTTACATCATAAATAGGTACGCAATAACCGTCCTAAATTGTGAAAATTTTTATATCAAAAGATAAAATTTGTATACATTATCGACAAAAATTTATAGCATTTTTAGAAGTTTGGTTTTGTTCAAATCAATTTATAGGGACAATAACAAAAAAAAAAAAACAACCCACAACATTGTGAAATCAACTCCCAACAATGGTAATTATCCTTATTTTTTTGTTTCGATCAAAATTGAATCGAAATATGTGCGGAAGTATGAGACGTACGAGACAGCGGGACAGATGCAGTGTGACGAGTACATTATATTATTATGCTGTCGGAAGTCGTCAAGTATATATGATATTACTATTAAACACGCTGTGTTCGGTTATGTACTTTTCGGATTCCGAAAATACATATATTAGCCAGGAAACTATTAATTTTACAACGAAATGTGTAATTTAGGGGTAAGTGAAATCGCTCAAAAAGTGTGGGAAGGGGACTCGGTCTCTTTAAACTTTTTATCGCGCTTAATAAGCGCCCTCGTCGTTTGAATAATATTACATCTAATTTCGAAATGTTATGTTTAGTTATTATATAAAAATAAATATCATTTCTTTTGGTTAAAAACATTTTTGGTACCAGTATTCATTGCACTATGTTTATCACATTGTTATCATTAGCAGTAGTCGAACGCATCGCAGTAGTTATACCACATGTTTTTATAATAAGTAAATGTATATGAGTAAACAAAGTTTTAAACTCATTGATTAGATAACTCCAGTAAATTTTAACATTAAGTTCAGATAAAGGTGCTTACACCATACTATAAATCCTTTATTATTCTCCCGGATATAATATGAATTCCAAAATAAAACCACAACAAATATAATCTTATTTACGTTATTGACAGGACGATAGAGTTAGTGGAGTGCGCGAAGGGGGAGGTTAGGTGTTATATCCCTACCCCCATTGGCTTAAAATACAAACAAATATGAGTAATCTAATGTCGAAATGCATATATCTAAATAGAGTTACGAGGAAAAACTTGACATATTGATTAAAAATTGGCCTTTTTTTGGATCCGGCTTTAAAATTACCAATTTCCATTGTCAATTTGGGTAGAGAAGTCGAATTTATAGTTTATTCATGATTCTTATTTGCTACATCCCCTTCCATTGATAATTCCTGGGCACGCCACTGGATAGGGTAGATATAATATGATGATTATATGATTTTTACTTAAAATATTTCAATCGAAAAAAAAATTGTCGAGTAATGGGGACTACGGCATACTGTGTCCACTCCTTGCATACACTACTGGTATGGTGTATGGCTGCTTTAATACTAACTAAAATATGACAAATTTTTTGCTTATTTCGTTACTGAACTGAAAGCTTCATATTTTATAAAACCGAAAATATTATGTCTGTCTGGTGTGTTTGTTTGTCGGTTATTATACACACGTATAGTATTTTTTTTAACTTGATGAAACTTTGCATACCTAATTGACTTTCCAATTTTTGATACTTTAGTATGAATAGAGACATCCTAAGATAATGAGGACGGAATAACCACTGTTATAGGTAATTTAATGTATACCTGTAAGCAGTGATAAACCATTGCTTACGAAAAAACGATTCTAAGCAGAGTTCAGTTGATAGTGTTGCTTTATCAACAATATATGCCAGTGTATTAGTGTAAAATAATTAAACGAGCTCTATATATTTTATTTAATAATATTTGTTTAACGTTGTACAGATTTCCTGGATTTTCCTACGTTTTTCCTGGTTTTCCCATGTGTTTTCGGAGAAAACTCCGAAGAAAATCGAAAAACTTCTTTAATGAAATTTTAGAAAAATCGCTTCAATAAAATTTGGAGCAAAATTTCTGGTAGAAAATTTGTCTACAGGAAAAAGAGGAACATAATATTTTTAGATAATACCTATATTTCTTACATTTTCTGTTTTTTTTTTTTTTGATTTTTCGCATTTGATGAGAAAAATCTTGAGAAAATCAAAAAACGACCTTTAAAAACCTCCCCACACCGATTTCCTTTCAGGAAAGGCGCTACACGTAAAAATCGGAGCAAGTCCTCTGGTAAAAAGTTGTCCACAAAAAAAAAATAAAATAAACATCTTTGTGAAACCATATAAACTTCTTCGCCCCACACAGAATCTAAAAATTAATTACTTTTTTTTTATTGACTTCTAAGCCATCTCGGTGACGATTTATATGGATGGAATTAAAAATAAAAACAGTTATTATTATTTAATTTGTTTGTCACAGACAAGTGAATACTAGTTTCAAAAGATAACTTACCGGGCTACAGCGATTAACTGAGATAGGGATGAGGGCGGAAACGAGGAGACACGTTAAATATGATTTGTTTTATTTATTTATGTTATTGAAAGGTCAATATACCGGGTGATTCAGCTATAGCGATCAGTAAAATCGACAAATCACCGCGCGGTCGCAATTTAAACTTGTTTTTGAATTATAATAAATTAGGTACATGATAAACGCGGAACGTTGTATTAGAAGAAGAGTTGTTACTTAGTTACAAAAATATTATAAAAAATATATTACGCATTATGTTTTCGTATATTTACATAATATACTTAAAAATTATTTTACACGAATATTTAAAGTGGATTTGTTCGAGTTTTTAATGCACGTATCATCGACATACTAATTTACTGTAATATTATTTGGTCTCTTATATATAAACATATATATATATTACTATTAATATACCGAATGCATATACCTAGTCCGTGACGAGTATATAATATTTCCATTCTGTATAACCCGCCCACCCATCGTGAACTACACTACAGGGTGATTTGTTTTTATAATGAACCAATAATTTTCTCGGATGATTTTAAGTGAATTTGATTTCTGTTTTTTTTTTTTTAAATTTTTTATTAACAATCGTGGAATCCTTTGTGCTTTATTTCAAAACCATTTTTTGTTTAAAGTTTAGACAAGAAGAGTAGGGGAAAATGATCAATTTATAACTTAAAAATAAATATGCAATTCATTACCTTTTCCTTCTCCTTCGGTCTAAACTTCAAATGGCAAGTCTGATATAAGTATTAAAAATATCAGCATTTCTATAGTAAAGCTTTTTATATTTGAATTTATTTTCAAAAAGAAGGTTTTTATTTGAAAAACAAGAATATATACTTATTTAATGTATAATAATATGGAGTAGCGGTGATGAATTGAAAACCTTTTTAAAATAAAGATTAAAAGATTCGACAATATTATTAATACAAAAAACAAAAATCAAATTCCTTTAATAAACTCCGAGAAAATTTCTGGTTCATAACAAAAAAATCACCCTGTATTTTAGACACGTGAAAAAAATTTGTTGAACACGGCTCGGCAACAAATTATCGTATACGGAAAAAAAATCTAGTTTACCGTCCCGAACGGCCGGTTTTTCGAAACATATTATACGTGTTATTTTCACGATTATTAGAAAAAAAAAAAAAACGAACACTACGCTACTACTTAAAATATTCATGTCGATCTATACTACTATATAGTTATAGGCTGAATTCTGAAAACTGCGGCTAAACCATTAACGAACTAATAATGCAATATTGTAGAGACCAAAGTTTTCAAATTATTTAACGTTGCAAACACCTACGAATAACTACAATGACGGATAGAACGAAAAAAAATAATTACTATACAACTGTTGTCGAATTAGAATTTATTTTAGAAATATAATATCTCGTGATTATCGCGTGAACTTTGATGTTATTTTCCAGACAATTTGATTTGAACAAAATGTGAAATTCGCTTGCGCTTGCGCTTCGGTTTTCATAATGATTTGTGCTGCGGTGACAATAACATGTTGATATATATTTTTGTTCGTCTTTCGAGAAGTTTACAGGCAAATTATAAAGAGCCCGGAATTATAGGCGATTTGTGTAAAAAAAGTGATTATAAATAATGATCAGTTATTGTATTAATTAATAAATAATGACTAGAAAAAAAAAAAAACATTTCTTTTACGCCGATTAGCACTGAACACCAGCAAAAAAGTAATATTCAAAAATTAAAATTAAAACAATCTTTTCGTAGATTCAAATATTAAAACGTATTATTCTATCATTATTAATATTGAATATTTAATAACATTTGCAACTCGACGAAAATATAAAAAATCCAAATTATCGCATAATTTGTAATTATGTCGAATTCTCCAAATATGAAAAATATGCGAAATAAAATTTGATAATTCGATGTGATACTAATTGAAATTTCGAACCACCAAAGACAAAGCTGGATTAAAGCTACAGTGGGCCTTGGAGCCAAACTTAAAAATGAACCCTATTTATGTAAATTTATGAACTGTACAATTTTTTAATTAACATTTTGTCCACATAAATGATAACACGTACAATGTCCTTTACATCCGTGAGCCCAAATTATGTATCCTCCTTCCTCCTCCCCCTTAATTTGGGCTTGCACACACATTATTAACAAATTATGCAAACTCATATGAATCGTGTACTCTAATCACCATATTATGATATAATATATTTATTTAACCAAATTCACGAACAGTTCCAGGGAGATCGATTATCAAATTGGCGAAAATTGTCAAGTATTCCTACGGGCAACGTAACTATAGAAATTCGGTAACCCTAAAGTCAAATATTTAAATTGGAGGAGTGTCCTCCCGAAAATGTAAACATTCCTGAACAATCCAAAGTAGCGAAATTTCTCTCCTAAAATTTCCGTTTAAGTCTTGTGCCTAGGAGTCGACGAACAGTGTGTTAATAAAATTAAGTATACTAAAATGTGAAAAAGAAAAACATAACTGATAACTATTCTTTATCGCTGTCGTCCTCCGGGTG